ATGTAAACAATACAGAGCTCTGCCCTGTCAGTGTTGATGGTCTGGTTTTTGTTTCCCTGCCATGCAGGGAATAAACATCTGCTTATCCCCTAGTAAAAGCACACACTGTACACACACAAAGCACGGTTAGGTATACAATTAACCCTTTGATAGATGTTATCCTCTTTCCAACCAGTGTCATTAGTACAGTGTTAGTGTATATTATTAGCACTGATCACTGTATTAGTGTCACTGATTCCCACAAAGTGTCAGTCAGTTAGAGTCAGATTGATGGCCGTACTATTACAGTCCCATTATAAGTCGCTGATCACCACCATTACTAGTATAGAAAATAAATAAATATTCCAATATATATATATACCATAGTTTTTAGACGCTACAAATTTGTGCAAACCAATCAATATACCTTTTTTGTGATTTTTTTTTACTAAAATATGTAGCAGAATACATTTTGGTCTAAATTTATGAGTAAATCTGATTTTATATATATATATATATTTATATATATATATATATTATATATATATATATACACACATTTTATAGCAGAAAGTTAAAAAAAAAAATATATATTTTAAATTGTCAGTCTTTATTTGTTTATAGCGCGAAAAAGAAAAACCTCATTGGCGATCAAATACCACCAAAAGAAAGCTCTATTTGTGTGAAAAAAAGTTACATTTCATATGGGTACAGCGTTGCATGACCGCGCAATTGTTAAAGTAACTCAGTGCAGTATAGCAAAAAATGGCCTGGTCGGGAAGGGGATAAAATCTTCCACAGTGGTTACAGAGGAACTAAACTCATTGATTTAAAGTGGAACGTTACCCATAACAACTTGATAAAAAATAATGTTCTTTAGCAAGGAACATACATTCCACATTGATAATTCTGCTACCAAATTGAGTGTGTACTCTAAATTGCCTCCAGCATTGTTCCTGCTTCTTCTTGCTGAAGGCTGTCATTTTGCCCTTGAACAGCAGTAAATCATGAAGTGGAACTAAACCCATCTCCAAAAATAATTACATTCCTGGAATGCCGGAATTGCTAACTGTCACATTTGCTTGTGTCCTCAACCAAACTGTCAAACCATCAAATGGCAGTGCATAACTGATCACATGCAGCACCATGGCAGTTGCAGATCAAAGAGATGCAGCTTCCTTGGCTGTAAAGGATAGGAGGGTTTAATTCCGCGTTAAAGCAGATTGGCCTCTAAAAAATGTATCAGTGCCTAAAACTGGAGAACAATAGAGCATGTGCACAGCAGGGTGACACATTGTTTTACTGCCTTTTAAACAGTACAGACCAGGGGCGGACTAACCATTCGAGCACTTGGGCACTGCCCGAGGGCCCGGGGTCAGTATGGGGCCCCATTAAATGCCCCTGGTACTTTTTATAGGCTTTTTTGGGTGTGCTTTGAGTGTGGGCAAGGACACAGGGGCCCCATGATCCCCTATTGCCTGGGGGCCCCATGAGTTGTCAGTCCGCCCCTGGTACAGACACTTATTTGTAAATGTTTTACATAGCTATACCTGCAAGTGGGACCAACCTAAAGTGATGTAACATGCAGGACCTGATTTTCTGACTTTCCACTTTAACTTTCAAAAAACAGTTACATCTCTGGCATGCCAGGATTGCTAACTGTCACATTTGCTTGTGCTCTCAAACTGTCAGACCATCAAATGGCTGGTCCCATAACTGATCAGATGCAGGGGCGAACTGACCATTTGGAAACTCGGGCACTGCCCGAGGGCCCGGGGTCAGTAGGGGGCCCCATGAGATGCCCCTGGTACCTTTTTCATAGGCTTGAGTTTGGGCAAGGACACAGGGGTCAAATGATCCCCTATTGCCTGGGGGCTCCATGAGTTGTCAGTCCGCCCCTGATCACATTTGCAGCATCATGGCATTTGCAGATCAAACAGAGAATTAGATGGCAGCTTCTATGGCTGAAAAGGATTAGGAGGGTTTAGTTCCACTTTAAAAAAAAGAAGCAATGTTATTCGTGGATATAAATGACTGCACACTGTATATGTGCACCTTAAAGAGGAACTAAACCCACTGATTGATCTGCTTCCCAAGGCTCCATGCACACTAGCTTTTTTTAAGCTCCTAGAAGTTATTATGAGCATTTTGTTTTCTGCTCCTAGAAGCTAATAGTGTTATCCTATGTCCCCATGCACACTATTTTATGCTAGAAGCGTTTTTCAAGCTTCATCGTTTAAGCACTAGATACATTTTCCTTGTAGAGTTTTTTGAAGCTTTTTCACATCAGAAAAAACACTGAACGCTCCTAAGGCTCAGTTCACACTAGCTTTGTCAGCAGGCGTCAGACAGGCGTTTGAAAAGTGTTTTTAACGCTTCTCAAATGCCTATGAAAATTCTGAACATGGCAGCACACAGTGCTGTTCACACGGAAGCGTTAATGTCGCGTCGCAGCAACACGGATGTCTTGTGTCAAGTCAGGAGGAGTTGAAGTCTCCCATTCGAGTCTATGGTGCTGCTCCGCAAACGCCTGGTGCGGTTGCGAGGCGGTTGCAGAGCATTATTACCATTTAACTTCATTATAGGCGTTTGTGGTGCGGTTTTAACACTTGACAAACGCCTATCAACCGCCTCAAAACCACGCATAGGGCTTTTGGGGAGCTTTAAAAACGCTTCCCAAACGACTGTCTAACGCCTGTCAAATGCTATAGGGGCGTTTGGCAAGAGTTAGAAATAAAGTCAAGTGTGAACGAGCCCTAAATGCTTCTAAATGCTACTAAAACACCCCTAACAGCTTTTTTTGAGCGTTTTATCTTTTTTTAATTTTTCATGTAATTCTATTATAATATAATATAATTAAAAAAACTGTAAAAATACTAATAAACCGCTAACGCTATTAAAATGCTACTAAAAAGCTACTACAAGCTGGCAAAAAAATGCTATTATCAGCAATTTTCATCCAGCGTTTTTTTTTTTCTAGCATTTTTGAGCTTATAAAAAAACCACTAGTGTGCATGGAGCCTAGAATCTTTACATTCAAAAAATGTATATTATATAGGGCGCGCTTGTTGGAGCCCAGCCTCTGTAGCTGTAAGATAAAGGTGCCAGTTGGATATCAGGGATGGATGGATGGATGGATGGATGGGAGCAGTTACACTGAGCTCTTCTTAGAGTAGAAGCAAGGCTCTAATGCAGTAACAAGAAAAAGAGAGGACGGCGCCTCTAAGTGCAGTATTGACAATTTATTTAGTAAACAATGGAAAATTTGCACTTACAAGATAAACGGTTAAAAAGACTCATCTTGTGGTAATTAGATCCAGGTGGGACATCCAGCCGTCCAGCAGCAAACTATGTCTATAGGATTAGAAAGTAGAGTCCAGGATGTGCCTGTGCATCAAAAATGAAGCTTGGAGAGCAGAGTCAGATGTAGCAGGTGAAGGGGGCGGTAATGCATTTCGGAGCATGCTCAATAGGCTTCTTCTCTGAAGAATAGGCTCTGAAGGTCTGAAGAAGGAGCCTATTGAGCATGCTCCAAAATGCATTACCGCCCCCTTCACCTGCTACATCTGACTCTGCTCTCCAAGCTTCATTTTTGATGCACATCCTGGACTCTACTTCCTGATCCTATAGACATAGTTTGCTGCTGGACGGCTGGATGTCCCACCTGGATCTAATTACCATACCATGAGTCTTTTTAACCATTTATCTTGTAAGTGCAAATTTTCCATTGTTTACTGAATAAATTGTCAGTACTGCACTTAGAGGCGCCTTCCTCTCCTTTTCCTTTACATTCAAAGCCCTGAATGATAACTGTTACAGTTGCCTGTGAACTCAACAGAACTGTCAAGCCATCAAATGTCTGGTGTCATATTTGATGACATGTACAACACCATGACACCTACAGATCAAACAGAGGATAAGGTGGCAGCTTCCTCAGTTGTAAAGGACAGGAGGGTTTAGTACTGCTTTAAAGAGAGACAATCAGAAATGGATGTTTGTAGGAATCTGAATCTGTGTTCCTATGCTGTTATAATAGAGCAGGTTTAACCCTTAGGCCCCATTCTCACCTGAGTGTAGCATATTTGTGCGTGATTTGTTCAGGCAGTTTTCAGGCTTTTTGAGTTCTGACATTTTTGTATTAGCCAATAGAGAAAAATGTCATCTGTAACATCAATTATTGCCATGTTTTGCCATGCCAGAAAAAAACTCTTGGTTGTGTGACAAAATGTGCTAAAGCACATGAAAACGCGCGATTTGCGCATTTCCAAGTATTTCTATGGGAATGAAAACTAGTAACAAATGCATCACTTTGCCCAAATGGAGCTTCAAAAGTAGCTCCAAAACTTTTTTGAGCTTCAAGCGTTCTGCTTCAGGCAACTTAGAGTGGAGATGTGAACCATCTCCATAAAGTAATATTGATTTTTTTTTCTCCCTGAGCATTTTGAAACTTCAAGCTTCGCACTACACAACGCTCAGGTGTGAATGGGGCCTAAGGCACAGCTGTATGTTCTGGTATTTACCTGTATTCTCTCCCTGTTAGGGCAAAAAAAACTGGCCCAGTGTTGGGTTGTTGGGCTTCAGTGGAGGCTGCTTTGTCTCTTGCACGTGTTCAGGATTAAAAAGTTACCACTTTTTGGGCTGCCGGAGAAGGAAACACTTGTCAATCAACAAATCTTCTCGTGTTCTATGATATATTCCTGACAGCGTAGTAAGATATACAGCTTTTTGAGTATTTGTTGTCAGTCCTGAGCTCAGGCAGCAATTAGGATGGCCTTACAACTCAACATTTCCATGACAAGGAAAGAATACAAGTAAATAACAAAAAAAAATCTGATAATCCCTGACAGCAAGGCTGCAATGTTAATACATTTCAAGAGTAGAGTCTCCAATTCTTTGAGATGCCAATTGGTGACTTTTTAAAGTTTGCATCCCAATGTCTACTGGTAGCAGCACAGTTTTCATGTATAGTGCCCATGAGAATGATACTGCTTTAGCACATCTAGAACTGTTTGTATTTTCAGGTATTACTCCATCTTCCACAAGCGAGAATCAAAGTTTCAAACTGCAAATGCCTTGCTCTTGTTCGGGCACCAAGGAAGAAGAACCGCTGGAAATTGGTGGTAAGATAGGAAGCAAAAATATTCTTTTTAAACATGGTCAGAAAAATAACTGTTTTAATCTACACACTTTGCAATCCAGAAAATGCCCAGCACTTTCCCCATCCAGCCAGCACTTAATGTCTATATAAACTGTACATTTTAGGTTTATGTACATATGACAGTCTAAACAAGTACCAAAATCCAGTTACTATGTTATGCACGAGCCTTATAAAGTGAACAAAAACTTCCTTTACGTTCCCTGACTAAGTATTTTCCTCCTCCATTTGTGTCTCACATGCTCCCCCTCCCAGACACTGCAGCTCACAGTGGTTGGTTTCAGCAACAGAGGTAGGGCAGTGGGCAGGACTAAGAGTGGCTACAGGATAGTGAATCAGCAGTGACAATGCCGATAGCCACAGCACCTGCAACATCCCCCTATTCCACAGTAGTGCAAGGTGGCACAGCCTACATGAGAGTGGCAACTTCACTTTAAATTTAGAAGCAGTCCAGCATAGTTGTCCCACCGTCACAGGAAGCTGCACTAGGTGGACATAAGTGCTGCAGAACATGTATTTTTTGGGAGGCCATAGTTCTACTTATTTTTTTACAAATATTTGCAAATAAATGTGAATCCACTCAGCAGTGTCAAGGCATCTCTTTAAAATGTAGTCCAACTCTAAACTGTCTACGATCCCAAATTTATATTTATACCTACGCCTGGGGACACACACTTGAAACTGTTGTGTTATATGTATCTTTGTACCTGATAAATAAATGTCTCTGAAAATCACAGAAGAAAACCGGAGTGCTGCAATTGTTAGAAGTATATGTGTGTATAGGTAGTGCTTACCCCCAAGGAGCCGCTGTTTTCTTGAGTCCTCTGTTCCCAAAGCCCACGACTCTGTAAGCATAACTGACACACCCAGGATGAACAGGGTATATTTATTGTGACATATATATGCAGCAACCAAAGAAATGTAAATGGAAAACATCCCTCAAACATATATATAAAACAGTAGCAAATACAAGAGGGCATTTAATTTGTAAACAAATATACTGTGTATAAACATTAGTAAATAGGATATAAAATTGATAATAAGCCAATGGTCCAGAAGATGTCCGTAAGCCCTATACTGGGGATGGTCCTGCCTAGAGGGTCAATGTTACAATAACAGTCTGTCATTCTTTATTAAACCCTTTCCCTGCTGGCCAGCAAGTTGAGCTAAGATTTGGTATTGGAGCGCTCAAGATAAGTTCCTCCTAACCCAGGTATAGGCATCTTCACTGTGTCCCAAACAAACAATACTGTTCCTCTTTAAAGTGGTAGTACACAGCAGCTAAAAAAAAAAAAATTCCCTGCAAGTTAATGTCATAATGTACTAGTATGTATCACATACTAGCACATTATGAAGGGCCTTCCTTAAAATGAAGCCTTCCAGTGGTACCCTATCACCTCTGCAGAGGCTTCCATCTTTACCTGCTCTTCCTTCCAGGTTTGCAAGCTCTGGCCTTCTGACTGGCTGAGCCGCAATGTCATCACTCTTGGGCCTCAGCACAGTGCTCTGAAGGAACGGCACAGGTATGCCATTCCTTCAGAGCGCATGCATTGGATCTCAAAAAGAGCGAATATCTCCTAAACGATGCATGTTTAGGAGATATTCATTTTACCTACAGGTAAATTTTATTATAAGTGTTCCTGTAGGTAAAAGTATAAAAAAAGGAGTTTACTACCACTTTAATAGGGTGCAGTAGGGTTTGGCCAGCTGCCTCTCACCAACTCCTGAGGTCACAGCTGGTCTCGTTCTGCAGGTCAGCAACAATCAGGCAGTGGAACCAGTCAGCATCGGTGGTGTTCTCATGTACCAGGAGATATCAGTTCCTCTGTCTTTCTGTGTCCCTGATGCGGTGGAAAACATTTTGGCACTAGGGCCTTTCTTTTCCACTCCACAAAGCCCCGTTAATTCTGTGATGTGTATTTCCTCTACCAATCTGATATGCAAGCTCAATCTGTCTGGGGACTATCTCTCACACAAGTCTCAGTTTTTCCCTGCAGGCTCTAGTTGTCCCAGAATGCCCAGCAATCCATATCCCCTTCCTCTGTGTCCTCCTCTAGCCAATCACTATCTGTCCAGCATACACATCGGCTAACCCAAAATGACACTTCCTTTTGTGGTTATGGCACAAGCAGTGAAGGAAAACCTCCCCAATGGAACACAGATGTCAAAAGAAACTAATTGGGGGCTATAAACCTCCCTTATACCATCCAAAATGAAAAAAAAAACAAATTTTGGCTTTTGTTCTACATGATTACATGCTGATAACTCAAAATGATGGACTAAACATCAGATTCCAAAAAAATTGTTCACAGTTTCGGCTGCTGTTGCATTTCGTGTTAAAATAATAGCACTATGGTCAATAGCAGATGGAGTAAGCCAGCAGATGTTCTACTTTAATTTTCAGGGTTCTCGAAAAAACGAGGAGACATGGAAGGGCTCTCACGGAATGAATTCCCCCCCTACCTCCTAATCACGTACACCCCAGAGTGGCGAATGGAGCAGACTCCCAGCACCCGCCGCAAGAGAGCAGTGGATGAGGAATACTGCCGCACGTTAGTATCCAATTCACAAAATTTATATAACATATGTCAATTGTTCAGTATGTAGCCATGCACAGTAGGAATTAACATAGGCAAGAGAGGGGCCCTTAATTTTAAAAAGCAAAGTTTGTATTTGTCTTTTATGACACTCTTTGTTTTGGGGGGATGTAGAGAGGTTTTATATTACAGTTACATGCAAACACACAGAGGGTACTTACTATTTCTTGTTACAATTTAGAATTGGAGAGGTTACTTTAAAATGACGCTCTGTTACAAATAGGATTTTGTTATCTTCTCAATATCAGGAGCCTGATTAGCAGCTACATTTTTCACTTACATCCAGTTTTTTTTTTTAATTTAATGATGTGCAACAGACACAATAAAACGTTGACATCACATAAATTGCAACAGGTTACATAATGCTTAAGTCACATCTGGAATGCCAGGGCGCCAATGTGAGGTATGTATAAAATAAGTACAATAAACAGCCATCGTAATGTGCAGCAGTATGTATAAATAATTAAACAGATGGTATAGATTAAGAAGTTATAGGCAAACAGTCCCATCAATAGTGACAAAAGTACATGAATATAAGCACATCATATGAGACCGCTCTGAGGAAGAGGCTAGTCCTCGAAACGCGTCAGTCATTTTGGATGTCCATCATTCTCATCACCATTCAGAAACGCAGTGCGAATTTGACAGAGCTGTCTCATATGATGTGCTTATATTCATGTACTTTTGTAAGTAGAATACCTTCTTTTAAATTTAATAAACATACTTTTAAAGGTAATGCACAAGGCTGGTGCGCCCTCTGTTTTGTTTTTCTCTATTAGTACTTTTGGACTCCCCGGTTCTTTGAAGGCAGCAAGGCATGCATATTCCAAGACATTCGTTCATTCGTTGTGTGATTCCTATGACATAGAGTCCATCCCTAAGAGCAGGAGTATTTGGGTTTTCCACTTTCCCATCAATAGTGACAGTTTGGGTGCAATCCCTACTCACTAGGAGAGTTCCCCCACACAAGGAGAGTTTCTGCATACATGGGATACAGGTCCGAGCAGCATTTGGGAGGTGTTTAAGAAAGGATTTGTGATACCTCCTCCTAGAAAGAGGGGTGAGGTTGAGTAGAACTGCAGCAGCTTATCCTGAATGGAGATATCCGTAAATTTATGGATAAGTTGGAGTATGGACTGCCAGAAAGAGCGTAATTTTCGGCACTCCCAAAAAATGTGAAGAATAATGCCCACATGTAGGCCGCAGTGCCAACATCAGTCCATTTGTTGTGGGAAATTTTTGGCAAGAATTGATGGAGTCCTATACCAGTGTGTAACTACTGTATATGTGATATATATATATATATATTGTGATATGGGGGATTCTTAGCTCAATGGTAGATGCTTTTTTTAGTGAGTTCACGCCAGACAGGAATTAAACTTAAGGGCCTGTTAGCCCACTTTTATTAAATAGTAACTGAAAAGTCCGTTCAACACAAGGTTTCCACGCTGGGGGCTTCAACTTCACTCAAAATAATACACAGTGAAAATGCAGAGCCACCTGGCTCTCTGGTTAGCAGTACCTCTGCTTGGCTTGGTCTCCTAGACGACTGGCTATTCAGGCTCTCTCAGCCTAGGTGACAGCTCTTTTCTGTTCAAGCCCCACATGGCCTCTTGACAGTTTTCCCTGTACCTTAGCTTTCTTCCTCCAGAGACTCACAGATTCCCTCCAGCCCCTTGGACTCACTGGCCTCTGCAACTTCCTCAGCCTCCCAGCCCTCTCTTGGTCTCCAAGACTCTTGTAGCTGGCCAGACTTTTCCAGTCCTTGGGCCCAGAATCCCCCTCACAGGTGTTGTAGTCTCCACTAGGAGCTTCCAGGTCTCCTGACAGGGCTCTGTCTTCAGGCTTGCAGCAATAGCAACTGCTATTCCACCTCCACCACTTTTGAGCTATGCTTAGATCTGCCTTATAACAAGTGTGTGCACCCGGACACAGACACACACTGCAGAACATCTGAAAAACCTGGACACAAGACTGAAGACTCCGTTTCATCCAATACTCTTTGAAGCCTTCAAGCTAACAGCCCCAATCCAGACTTACCAAATCCAGAGAAAGCTTAAAACATAGCTTTCTCTGCTTGCAAAACATTTGCTGGAGCCTCTCAAACTGACTGTTCGAGAGTCCTGTGTTCTTCTCAAACCCATTTCCACAGTGACAGAGCCTCTCACTGTCAATAAATATATATATATATATATATATATATATATATTAGTAAAATTATTGGAATATATTTTTCAAAATAAAAACATTATCAAAGAAAATAAAAAGAAAATAAAAATGCCCCCGTAGTAGCCAAAACCAATATGCATACAGTATATGTTTATATCTGGTGCAGACAGATACTTTATTGTACCTCACTTTACTTCAACGTGGCTGAAGGTTTTTTACTTTTATGCATTTTATGCATGGAGGTAAAAAAAACCTACTGTGTTTTATGGAACAAAAAATCTACTGTGTGCAGCTCCCCCCCCCCCCCCCCCCTCAGTCCCCTAACACTTACCTGAGCCCTATATCAATTCAGCACTGTGCATGGGAGCAGCGGCTCTCCCGGGTCTCTCTCTCATTGCCTGAGACACAGCAGCAGGACTCCCACTGCTGTCAATCACAGACAGTAGGAAAGAGTGGGGTGCGTTGCCAAGCCATGCTCTGTGTGTCTTATAGACACACAGAGTGGGGCTCAGGAAAAGCACACGAGTGCCCCCATAGCAAGCAGCTTACTATGGGGGCACTCAACAGGAGGAGGGGCCAGAAGCACCAACGGGGGACTCAAGAAGAGGAGGATCAGGGCTGCTCTGTGCAAAACTATTGCACAGAGCAGGTAAGTATAACATGTTTGTTATTTTTTTTAAAATTAGCTTTTAATATAATTTTAACCTATCACAATACACCAACACCAGCTGAAGCTCTTATACAAATGCCGACATTGTGAGAGTGGATGGAAAATTTAAAAAAACCCTTTAAAGAAAAGTTTGTGTTTCTATTACAGGAACAGTGGGAAGAACTGCTGTTTAAAACCCCTTTATATTAACTTCCGAAAGGACCTTGGTTGGAAATGGATTCATGAACCTAAAGGATATGAAGCCAATTATTGTTTAGGAAATTGTCCATTTATCTGGAGTATGGACAAACAGTACAGCAAGGTAAGCCCTGGAGTATAGTGGCAACTGAGTATGAAGGGCTCTTCCAGCAAGGAGAATGATAAAGATGGTCACGGTAAATAAACAATGGAAGGGCCAGTGACGGACTGACAAGTTATGGGGCCCTCAGGCAATAGGGGATCATGGGGCCCCTGTGTCCTTGCCCACACTCAAAGCACACCCAAAAAACTTGTAAAAGGTACCAGGGGCATTTCATGGGGCCCCCTACTGACCCGGGCCCTCGGGCAGAGCCCGAGTGCTCGAATGGTCAGTCCGCCCCTGGGAAGGGCTAAATGCACCAAGATTGGTAATCCACAAAAAGACTTAATTTAAGTTCCCAAAATTCAGAACAGCACAAGGTGAATTCTGATTGATTTGTAAGGGGTACTGTACCTTGCACTTGTCCCAGCCACTGTAGAGAGAGGCTATGGGACATGGAGTAAGTGTCTCCATCTGCAGGGTGACACAGAAAGAAAGTGAGCTATAAGATATGGGGTTTGGGGTTTGTTAATCCCAATGAAAGGTGAAGCAGACAGAAGGGGGGGGGATATGAGACATGGATTCTGTCCCTACCACTAAAGGGTTATACATCTAAAAAGGAGCTATGAAACATGGAGTTTGTCTTTCCTACTGAAAGGTTACATAGCTAGAAGGGATCTAAGAGATATAGGGGTTCTTATACTAAAACTTGAGAGTGCAAAATCTGGGGCAGCTCTGCACAGAAACCAATCATCTTCCAGGTTTTATTATCAAAGCTTAACTGAACAAGCTGAAGTTAGAAGCTGATTGGCTACCATGCACAGCTGCACCAGGTTTTGCACTCTCCAATTTTAGTAAATCAACCCCATGGAGTCCATCCGTCCCTTTGCAGGGGGAAACAGACCTAATGAAGCTATGAGACATGGAGTCTGTCCCTCCCACTGCCATTGAGTGGTATGTACAAGGTGTGACAATTTAATTCCCATAATGCCTGTGCAATAGCACTTTGGTGGTGAACATGCTTATGCTGAACATTCCATGAAGGAACCAAGTGATTTTGAATAGCATAGGCAGTTTAACTAGGGGCAGGAAGATGTCCAAGTTGACACAAGAAGTGAGCAGCCAAAAATGCAAAGGACGGGTGTCAGGGACTGCGGGTCTCGCCCGCGGCGCACAGGTCTGCGCATGCGCAGATTGCCTAGGTGCACCAATGTGCAGGCACTAGGACCTGGGCATCCGCGGCAGCAGTTGCGGCCGCGCATGCGGGCGCGCGCCTGGCACCAATGACGGTGCAGGGTGCACTATTTAAACTGGCAAGGCGGTGATCAAGTTGCCGCAAGGTCTAGTTCCTGTACCTGTGTTTCTGAAGTGCATTCCTGTTGCCGATCCTGCTTGTCCTGAATTGTGTTGACCTTCTCCTGCTCTGATCCCCGGCTTGTCCCTGACTATTCCTCTGCCTGTCGTTAATGTTACTATTGGACCTCCCGTTGCTGAACCTTGGCTGGTGACCCGGCTACTCTCTGTCTACTGCTTGGTACCTACCCACCGCCACCGTTACGGACCCGGCTAGTCTGACCATACTCACTCCTGACTGTCATCCATCCATCCTGCTCGGGACCTGGCCTTGCCAGCCTCTTCACATCAGGCTCATCCCTGGCACATACCCTCAGCGGGACCCCTCTACCACAGTTGGGTGCACTCAGGGGTCGCGACCTGGTTTCAGTCTTGCACCAAGTCCATCCCCACCATCAGGGGCTCTGGTAAAAAGGCAGACTGGGACTTAGACTCCACGTCCTGGGGAATCCCATTCTGTGGATCACTAGAGATCCCGCCAGGCAGTGTCTGACAGATGGATGCAAATATGGAAAATGAAAAGGATACTGGAATCTGATCAGAGGAAAAGACCTCTGAAAACTCTGGCCTGACAAGTTGATTCTCCACCATGACAGTGCTCCTGCACATGATGCGTTACGTGTTTGCAAGTTCCTGGCCCAGAAATCCATTCTGAAACTTGACCAACCACCTTATTTCCCTGACTGACCACCCTGTGATTTTTGGCTGTTTCAGAAATTAAAAAATGCCTTAAAAGGACACAGATTTGATGACATTCTGAACATCCAGTGCACTGCAACAAAAATACTGCACGGCATTCCGGAAAACTAATTCCATAAATGTTTCTGGCAGTGGTATTATTATAGAGGATTTATATAGCGCCAACAGTTTACGAAGCGCTTTACAACATAAGGGCAGACAGTACAATTACAATACAAATGAATACAGGAGGATTCAGAGGGCCCTACTCGTTCGAGCTTACAATACAGTCATCTAGAAAAGTGCATCATCTCACAAGGGGACTACTTTGAAGGTGACAACCTCCACTAGTGTATAGGAAAGGAAACATTTTATTTTACAGTTCAGTCCTGGAATTAAATTGTCACACCTTGTACATACTTGCTCTGAGTCAGTGACGCAAAATATTGAAGCATAAAGAAAACAGTACAGTGTCTTTATTTGTTTTTAGCAATAGGAGAAAGCTTTCCTAGCGCTTGAACAAGCAACAGCTCTGACAATTTTTAATAAAGCCCAATGTTTGTTGGTTTCAGGTCCTGTCTCTATATAACCAGAACAATCCAGGAGCCTCTATCTCGCCATGCTGTGTACCAGAAGTCTTGGACCCACTCCCTATTATCTACTACGTGGGCCGAACAGCGAAAGTGGAGAAACTGTCAAACATGGTGGTCCGATCTTGTCAGTGCAGCTGAGACTTAACACTGGAGGTCAGAGGTTAAGGAAACAACACGGTACTGGACTTTGCTACCACCAACATTAAACAGAGACACCTGTGGTCTACACTTGCCTTTGCACTCTGAACTTTCATATCTGAGGTCTTAGGTTAAAAGAAACTTTCCTCTCTTGTGCTTTCAGTGTGCTTGGGTTCAAAGTTCAGCAGACAGTATTCCTGCTAAGTACAAATAGCTGCTCAGCAAAACCACCAGTAAACAGTAACTCACCATTTTCCCTGCAAAGTTCAACACTCCTGAAGAGCCTTGCCCTTCTACTCCCTTTGGTATACAAACTACAGTCACATTGTTTTTTTTTAATGTATGTCATTGGGAAACACCAAAGTCAAACTGGAATTTACAAGCCTAGTAAGCATGCCAAGAAAACCATGGACAAGCAAAGAAAATCCAAAAATGTTTCCTCTTCCACTATGGCTATGCCTTTCTTCTGCTGGCTGTGCCAGCTTGGTAGAGTGGTGAACATGAAGCCTAGATGATATATCAGTCATTGCCAAGGAAATGAACTAAGGAGTGGTGGAGGCTGCTCAGCGCATCTGAGCAGAGATTTAAGTCTATTCAGACCAGTGACATGTCAGGGTACTTTCACTCCTTTGGAAAAAGTCACAGTTGCCCCATTACTGGTCTTGTCTTGGGCAACAAAAGATAACAGACTGCTATGTATTATATGCTATGCTTTATGAATGAGACGTAGTTCCAAGAGTGCCTCAAATCAGGTAGGATGAGTTGATGTGCAGGTTGTCCCTGTACTGTGGCATCATATAACCCACCAATTGCTGCTGTACCTATATCCACTACCACAATTGCTGTCTTGATTGTCTTCATTATAAAGAATACAGTAATGCATTTGATTCCATAGCATACACAGAGATCCACAGGCACATTTAATTGACCCAAATGAGACTGCTCCATTTTTAACCAGCCAACCCTGGGCCCTTAAAGCCAGTAAATATAGAATACATAAAATAATTACCTCAGCTGCAGAAACTGCTGTTCTGGTACTTTACAGTGGTAAGTTATATGACCAAAATTTTAGGCATTGCTTTTGTGATGCCTGCCTGCTGAAGGGGGAATTGAAATAAAGTAGAGCCCCTGGCTGATCTTCCCCTTCAAAAGATCTCAAAAGACCAGTTGGGTTCTGGAGGAGCAGTTAATGCAGCCAGGGTTAAGTTTCAAGGCTTCTGTTACCTTTGCTGTCTAAAAGGTAGAAGCAATGAAAAAAACTTGCTTTTGAAAAGCCACTTTATAGTATTAATAGTAGACAGAGGCTTACAGGTGCTTAGTAACCATCATGAAAAGCCAAGTTCTGCTCCTGGAGCTCCTGGAGCCATGTCATAGCTGCTGTCAGTGAAGATGCTGGCCAATCTGTCCTTCTTACAATTTTGCCATGATTCACTTATAAGAGTCAGTCAGGCTCTACTGCTGACTCTTACATGAGTCAATGACAGTATGTGAAGCAGACAAATTATTTGGAATCCTAGAAACTAAAATTTCTGGAGAGGGGGGGGTGTACAATTCGCAGAAATAATGTATTAATGGACATCGTATTTAAATTACAAAAAATTCCACTAAAAGTTGTCAGCAATTCTGCTTCTTTGGAATGAAATGGAAATGGTGCCTACTCAGGGAAAACAAACACATAAAAAGACCATTAATTTCAGTGATGGACAATAATTCAGGGTGAACGGTAAACACCTGACATACATTGACTAATTGCAGTGGTTTGGAAGGCAGATTATTTCTCTTTCTAAGGTAAAATTTTGTCTTTATCAGTTTTTTTTTAATATAGTTTGACTTTCTTATTTAAAAATAAATGATTTAAAGTTCATAAATAAAATTGGTACTTGGAAAAGATGTGTGTGTGTTTATTGAAAAAAAGTTTTAAAAGACAGTTTTTAGTAAAGGGAAAATCAGCTAAGAACTGTCTGCATCTAAACTGACTGCATAACATACGCACAATGCAATGTCAAAAATAAAGTTAAAGTGAAAATGTGATCTGTTGAAAATACTGAGACCCCTCATGGATAGCAGCTTTACAGTAAGAAATGCTATTTAAATTTATTTTCCTTACCCCCAACTTCCATCTGAGGTGCCAATGTGATAGTGACGTCAACCTCCTTTTAGCAATCTGCTGTAAATGCTAAGACCCCTCACAAATATCAGCTTTACAGTGAAAAAGCTAATAAAAATACTTACCTTACTCATGATTTCCACCTGTGACGCCTAGGTGAAAGTGAAAGCAACCTCCTCCTGGTGAGATCCCGAGGAATGCTGGGAATCCTAGAACACAGGAGAACACAAACACTGTGCTCGCATCCCCTCGCAATATTTGGTATGCTCAGCATTCTCCAGGATCTAGTCAGAAGCAGCATGGTGTTACCACTTGCAATATGGCAGCTGTGGGAGAGGCAAATATATTTAATAATTTTGTTCCCCCTACAGTTTTTTTTAATAACTATAAAGCTTTTATTTTTGACTGGGGATGGGAGATGATCATATGTAGTAGAGCAGTCATTTATAGTAGAGCAGCCTTTCTATACAGCATTCCAAAAGAGGTGTTTAGGGTTCCTTGGACAGTGAGCAGTGGTGATTCCGCCTGACAGTGTCAACTTAGTTTTAGAGCCATTGCGTGGACCACTTGAACATCATCTTCTCAATGATCACCAATTTACCATGTATATTCTTACTAACTACCAATGTAAGAGACACTTATCCTCTCATTAATCGTCAATGTACCATGGTATTCTTCCTACTGACTACCAATGTAAGATGCATTTATCCTTCCATTAATTGCCAATGTACCAGGATGTTCATCCTACTGACTGCAAATGCAAGAGACATTTACCCTTCCATTCATTTTCAATGTACAAGTCTATTCTTCCTACTCACTACCAGGGCAATCTTTCTGATTAGTAACAATATAAGAGACATTTATCCTCCCACAAATTTTCAATGTACCGGGGTATTCTTCCTACTGACTACCAATGTAAGAGGCATTTATCCTCCCATCAATCCTCAATGTACAAGGGTATTCTTCCTACTAACTACCAAAGTAAGATATATTTATCCTCCCATCAATCCTCAATGTACAAGGGTATTCTTCCTACTGACTACCAATGTAAGAGGCATTTATCCTCCCATCAATCTTCAATGTACAAGGGTATTCTTGATACTAACTACCAAAGTAAGATATATTTATCCTCCCATTAGTCAATAATATACCAGCCAGGGTATTCTCCCTACTGACTACCAATGTAAGAGGCACTTATCCTCCCATCAATCCTCAATGTACACGGATGTCCTTCCTACTGACTACCAAAGTAAGAGACATTTGTCCCTCCCAATAATCATCAATGTGCCAGCCAGGGTATTCTTCCTACTGACTACCAATGTAAGAGGCATTTATCCTCCCATTGATCCTCAGTGTACTGGGGTATCCTTCCTACTGACTACCAATGCAAAGGAGCATTTATCTTCCCATTAACTGTCAATGTACCAGGATATTCTTCCAACTGACCATCAATGTAAGAGACAGTTATCCTTCCATTAATTGTGAATGTACCAGGATATTCTTCCTACTAACTAACCAATGTATCGATCCTCAATGCAGCAGGGTATTCTTCCTAATGAAGAACATAGGAGGCATTCATCCTCCCACTGATCCCCAATATACCAATGTATTCTTTTTGATTAAAAAAAACCTCTAAAATAATGAAGTTAATGTTGGGTTGTTTTTGGGCAAGAACAGGCCTAGAATACTTATAATGAGCTTTTGTAACCCACAAGAGCCAATTAAAGTAAAGTGCACGCTTATAAATTTTTAAAAAATTGTCTTAAAGTGCAATAAAATCCAAGACCAAAAAAATAATCAATTGCAGCTTACCCATCCTTAGATGTGGTGGCTGCATTCTTTTCCCTTTATCAGACTTTTTTTCCATTTATTTTCAGCTTGTGATCCTGCCAGTAACCCAATTTCTGTCCTAGGATGACAAAGCTCACTTACTGTATTGTATCTATGGAGACGCAGTGTTGTCACCCTAGGACAAGAAGTGTTTTTGGACTACACAGGGAAAGGTTTTCTGTAGTACACAGGGAGAACTGGGAAAAATTCTGACTGGTCAGCACAGGCAGGGAGCACTGGCACTGGAAGTTATCAGCTCATAAAATTTCTGGGTGGATCATCATTTTTGTTGCACTTATTGATGTTAAGCAGAAGGGATCAAATAAGAGAAGTTTAGTTTTAGGATGTACTATACCTACACTTTACTCACCTTCCCTATTGACTTCAATGCATTTTACCAATATGGTGAAATTTACTATTTTACCCACAATTTCAGGGCAATGAAAACTCTCCATTTCGCTCATCCTCTTACCAATCACCAATGCAACAGGATATTCTTGCTAGTGATTACCAATGTAAGAGACATTTATCCTTGGACTGATTCCCAATGTAGTGGTGTATACTTCCTGGTGACTACCAATGTGAGAGGCATTCATCCTCCCACTGATTCCAAATGCAATGGGGTATTCTTTCCAATGGCTATCAATGTAAGAGACTTTTATCCTACCACTGATTACCAATGTGCCAGGGTATTCTTCCTAATGACTACCAGGATGAGAGCCAATAAGCTTACAATTGATCTCCAATGTACTGAGATATTCTTCTTAATGACTATGAATATGAGGGGCATTCATCCTTCCACTGATCCCCAATGTACAGGGGTATTTTTCCTAGTAACTAGCAATAATAGAGACATTCATCCTTCCACTGATACCATGTGTACCAGAGCAGTCCTTCTAATGAGTACCAATATAAGTGGCATTCATCCTACAAATGATTCCCGGTGTATTGCGGTATTCTTCTTAATGACTACCAAACTAAGAATCTTTAATCCTCCCACTGATCCCCAATGTACCACGGTATTCTTCCTAATGATTACCAATAATAAAGGCATTCATCCTCC